AATAAAAAATATTTATTTATTTAATTATTTCCTTATGCTCCTCGCTCTACCCTCCGTCGTTGTGCTCTTGCTCTTCCTCTGGGTCTTCGATCCACGCCAGAGGTTCCACCGAATCGAGGCTAGCTCTTTCCCTTTCTCCATACACAAACCACCGTCTTCTCGCCGTCAGCTCTTGCCATCCCAAGAGGACGAGGGGGAGCTTTGTTCTGAGATCGGCCCTTGAAGACTCCTATGTCCTCGAACCACCGTCGCCCGCCCTCCCTACTGCTAGCAGCGCTGAACCTATCGACTGTTAGAAGCTCAAATTGCTCGAGAGTTTTTCATTTCTCCTGCCAATTCCTTGCCCATTCTCTTTTTAATTTGTTCTTGAAACCTTTCTGAATTCCATCGCTTAGCGATTCTGAATTCTTCCTGTTGGTTTGTGAATATATCCTCTAATCCCTTAATTGGTTTAGATTTTCCTTTGGTAATTAGGTTTAACTGAGGTTGTGGGCAAGGGTTCAATTTTCCGATTTCATGGTTGATTTCGATATCAGATAACTAGGGCTCGGCCCTTTCATTTGGTCAGTTTCCTGTGTTATTCTGAAGTTTGGTGGGAACAAAGAATAGCATATACATTTAGGCAGTAGGGTCAAATATATTATAATATATATTAAATTTATTTTATGGTAAAAATGAGTTGGACATTAAAATAGATTAAATTTTATTTTATTTATTATTTTTTATTTGCCACGTCACTAAGTTAACGGTCAACTTTGAGAGTTGACTGGCACATCCGACAAAGTTAATGGAGTTGGATGGAGAGTGACCAAACGTGAACGGGTTCAGTAAACTGAAGTACCCCCAATGAATTTAAATATTTCGAGTGACCAAACTTGAACATTTTTTGTAATCTCGGTGACCAACCATGCAATTTTAACCCGTTGTTTTCCCATCTTATCCCGAAATTTAATGCTGAAAAAGCGAATGAAAAAAAGTCATCCTCATCAATACGAGGACTCGAAAGACTTCGCTTCCATGAAACTATGGATGCCCATTTGCTAAGATTAAGCTTTTTGTAATTGTCGAATATCCCTCTTCTTATTTGATTCCTCAAATATTTTGCCTTATACGAATCTAGTCATCAACCGCCACTATGACACGCGCTTTCCTGCTGTCTTCTCCTCCGCCACAAACACAGCCGGCCCCCAGTTTTTCCTTCTAACTTCTATGGAATGTGTAAGAAGAAAACTAACGTGACGAACAAAGCAAGTTGTTGAATTATTTATTTTGGGTTTGACGAGGACGTTTATCAGAATTACTATAGCTAGCTTAGCTAGGAAGAAAAGTCAATAATCTCATTCTAATTTTCCAAGTAGCCTTCGATTTCCATAATGGCTCAAGAAAGGGCACCTTCCCAGAAAAAATCTCTCTAAAAACAATTCACGATACAACCAGAGTTGAACGCTAGCGACGCCAGTATTAGTACAAACCCTAGTACAGTCAATTCCCCCAATTAAAAAAAAATTCAATTCCAATAGCTGCAGCCATGAAAAGAAAACTGGGAGGAGGAGGAGGAGGAGGATGGGGAGGCACCAAGATGGGATTTGGAAGACGACTTCCCGAATTCATCACCGGCAGCTCTTCCAACAAATTCACAGTCACGGCGGCGGCCGCTTTCATCGTTTTATCTCTTGTTCTCATCGCCACCGTTTGCTCCCCAATTTCTTACCTTCCCCTGAAATTCGCCCTTTCGGGCACTAAACCACCGGAACAAACCTGCGAAAGCCGGGAACAGAGGAGCTCTTACCTCAAGCACCGATCCCCCGAACTGCCTCCCTATCTACTCTCCAAGCTCCAAGAATACGAACGCCGCCACCGCCGCTGCGGCCCGCTCTCGGAATCGTTCAACACGACTTCACCCCTCGGAACCCACAACGATTCCGCCGGAGGCGACTGCAAATTCGTCGTCTACACGCCTTCGCAGGGGCTGGGGAACCGGATCCTGGGTCTCACCTCGACTTTCCTCTTCGCTCTGCTCACGGATCGGGTCCTTCTCGTCGATTTCAGCGCCGACATGGGCGAACTCTTCTGCGAACCGTTCCCCAATTCGACCTGGCTCTTGCCCGGAAACTTCCCCTTCAGGTCCGATTTCTACGGCGGCTGGTTCAGGGACACCTACAGCTACGGGAAATTGCTGGAGAAGAAAGAAAAGACTGCGTCCGACTCTTCTTCTTCCTCTTCGCCGTCGCCCTCGTCGTCGTCGCCGTGGAATTCAACCCTCCTGCAGATCTTCCTCGACGATAAGTACAGCGAATACGACAAGCTCTTCTTCAAAGACGAGAATCAAGGGTTTCTCGAGAAAATCCCATGGCTGGTCCTGATTTCGGATGGGTATTTCATCCCCTGCCTATTCCAGATGCAGTACTTCAGGTCAGAACTCGATAAATTGTTCCCCAACAAGTCCACCGTCTTCCACCAATTGGGGAATTACCTACTCGCCCCTTCCAATCAAGCCTGGTCGCTCATCACCAAATTCTACGACGCCCACCTGGCGAAAGCAGAGCAGAGGATCGGAATCCAGATCAGGGTTTTCGACCCGGAAGCAACCCCGACTCCTCTCGTCATGAAACAGATCCTCTCCTGCACCGAAACACGAAGAATCCTGCCTCGATCTCGACAATCCAACGAGACATCGAAAGCTGTGCTCGTAGCGTCGCTGTCGAGCGAATTCTACCAAGGAATCAAGAACAGGTACGGTGGTCGTAGTGGTGGTGGTGAAATTGGAGTTTACCAGGCGAGCCACGAGGAAACACAGCAGTCTTACAAGAGCTCGCACAACATGAAGGCGTGGGCGGACATTTATCTGCTGAGCATGAGCGATGTGTTGGTGACTAGCGGAATGTCGACGTTTGGGTATGTGGCGGCGGGGATCGGCGGGGTGAGGCCGTGGATTGTGACGTTTCCTGATCCGAAGGACCATCCTGACGTCCCCGGATGGGCGGCGGTCTGCGAAAGGGCGGTTAATCTCGAGCCGTGTTTCCATTTCCCGCCGTGGTTCGCTTATCCCGATGAGCAAGGGACGGCGAGCGGCGGTGCTGGTCTTGTGAATCGGTGTGAAGATGTGCCCTGGGGGCTCAAGCTTGTCGATGGACGGAATAGAACAGAGTTACAGTAAGGAGGAGACGCTATACATGGCCTTTTGTTTTTTGTTCTGTTTCTTTTGCCCCTTTTGACGGGGGATTCGGAGTATAGTCGTATTTGTGTTGATTATAGGCATTAATGTATACCAATTTAGTTAGAATTGTATTCAAGGAGCATTTTTTTCCCTTCTTTTTTTTGTACAACAACAATAGAATTGCTCCAATACAATTTGACATGACTAGTCTGTTCCGTTTATATAATTATTAGCATAATTCTGCTCGCTATCGCTTCGTGTGTTAGCGAGAACAAGATGTTTAGAAGAGTAACAATTTGAATGTTGATTGAAAAGTGAAACAGTAGTTTGTTGTTTGGGATGACAATGATTAGTTTAATTGAAGGAGGATTTGAAATTGTTCCAAAGTGTTTCAATATTTAATTAACAATGCAAAAACTTCTATAGAAACCATGGGAAAGGATGGAGGAGGACTCCGCCAACAGGGTTTTGAGATGGGTTGTGAATTGGGAGGCGAAGGCAAGGATTAGACAGAGCAAATCTGGTATGGATATTCGGTAGGGATCATGGCTGATGGTTGAGGGGAGAAACTTAGGATTTTGTCGACAATGTTTTGAGATGGACTCTAATTGGTGGACAAATCAGCAGGCAAGACGAAAACTCAGTGGATAGTAGTTGTCACCGAGAAACCAGTGAACAATTGCTGAAAACCTAGTGGACAATAACTGTGATGAAAAACCCAGAGGACAACAGATGTAGACCCAGCCGACAATAGCTGCACATAGAGGTCCTGGAACGGGAGAGTGGAGTAAAAAGAAGGTACTCAAACATTGTAGAGTTTTGGAGAAGGGTATGTAACTGAAGGACAACAAACAACATAAAAGTTGCACACTTACATTTATAGGAATTTGAGAGCCACTAATGAGTAATGAATAGTAACTTACTTCTTTGATTTTTATATATTAAATAAATTAAACAAATAAATTTTAATGATCGAAATTCAACAATTCTTAACAGTTATATTATTTTGATATTTTCCAAAAGCAAACGTCAAAAAAATTCAAAAATGCGATACTTCAGAGATATTTCCCAAAATAGCGGTATTTTTGCTGACCTGCCGAGGGAAGGCGAATATTGCATGCAAGATAGGCAATAAAAAACTATGTCACCTTTCAGGCAGGCGACATACCTATCGCATATCGCATATTGTTGTAGATAGGGTAAGATTTGAATTTGTACAAATGTCGCTTTAGTGAGAGGTGACATAAGATACTGCCTTCCAATGAGTCGACATAGTGCTGGCCATAACCCAAAAACACTCTGCCTAAGGCACAACACTCATTTGTCTAACATTTCTCCTCCTGCTTCTATTGCTCCCTACAGCTCTTTACTCTCATCTCATTACTATTTTCTCTTCTTCGTCACTTTCTTCCCTTCTTCATTTCTCACATAAAAGTTTAATCAGTCATTCTATTTCCCTTGGTAGGGCTGACAATCGGTTTCTCATTATCCGGTTTAACCGATCACCGACGGTTATCGATTTAACCGGCATGTTTCGGTAGTCGGCGCCAACAAATAGCCTCTCGGTATACCGGTCCCCCTGCCGGTAAATACTGACGGTTAACCGGTTCAACCGAATATCGAGAAGGAAGGGAAACGTGCGGCGTTTGGAGGAGAAATCTGAAAGGCAGGTCAACAAAACCAGCGGCGTTTGGAGGAGAAAACTTCCTTTCCTTTCCTCCGACCAGACCTTCCATCTCTACTCCAACTTCCCTTTCCCTTTCCGCCCATCTCAATTATTTCCTTCTTTTCCTCCCGACCTGACCTCCTCCATCTCTATCCCAATTCTAACTAAATTGCAAATCTCTCTCCCAGTTCCAAAACTCACTTCTTCCCTTCTCTATACTCTTCCTTTTCCTCCGCCGCCATCATGAAGAACTTCTTACCAGCGTCAATCATCGTCGCAGTCAGGCCCTCTGGGACGCCGTGGTTGGTCTCCATGAAGAACCCTCAGTTGGGACAGACGGCTGTGAGGTCGCGATGATCTCAGAGCGACATTCGGGAGAGGAAGAGAGGAGCAACAAAAAGACAATGGTGGGAATCATCCACATGCAACAGATCCATATCCCTCTTCCGTCCATCTCATCGCCGGATCTGAATAATCCCGAAACAGATACAGGAGAGAGCAACAAGGGAGGGAAGAGGAAACCACACGATGCGGTGGCGGCCAGGGTAAATTGGGGTCGACCCTCCCTCTGTCCCTCACTCATCTCCCAACCGGCCAACGACGAAGTGGCGCTTCCTCTTCCCCAGCCGCCGGTGACGAGTCGTCTCCTCCCTCCTCTGCTCAAGCTCTCCCTTTCCTCTTCTCTCCTTCACACCATAGGAGTCGCCGTGGTCGTTGGAAGAGACATCGGAGCTGCCGGAGCCGTCGAATCTGCTACTCTGCCTCGAAAGTTTTTCTAGTCGCAGAGAGGAGAGGAATCCTTGACGGTTGTCGGATAATCAGAATAGTAATCGTTACCGGCAAGCCGGTTAGTCGTTATACCGGAAGTTACTCGATACCGCTTGTCGGCCGCAGATTTGGGCATCTCGGTATACCGATAACCGGTTACTCAGTAACCGGTTATACCGGTATCGACCGATTAGCAGCCTTGCCCTTTGGTTATGTAGGTAAGAAGAGGGAATTAAATTAAATTCTTACCAATTATATATTTTTCATTCTTATATATTTTGTAATATGAATTGTAGGTACATTAAGTTGCATCAACTCTTTGACAAGAAAATTAATGTACATTCTACAACAAGAATGGTAGTTCTATTGATCTTTTTAGATTAGGTTTAACATTCTATACTAGGTGATTCTATATTAAGTATAAAACTTAACACCCTTAACACCTTAGGATTTATATTAAGGCTAAAGCAATTACAAACATATTAAATGTCGTTTATGTTCTTATTAGTTCTTATGAATTATAGATATCATTCGCAAATTCACATTTTGATACCGTTGAGATGGTGAAATTATAAAAGTCAGAAAGAAATTGATTATGAAGATGGTCAAACCAAACAGATGACAATCAAAGGAAAATTTACATGGCTTGATCTCTCAAACATAGTAGTAGGAGAAACTTGCATTATAGAGCATCAAACAATATCTAAAATTACCTACACGTGCCAATTATGGTATTCAGCATCCTCGAATATGTTGAATTTCATGCTTGTAGGTGATAAAAAAAATTGGATATGATTTTTGAGTTCTTGAAAGAAAATCATGGTATTGAAGTGGTTGATATATATGTGGAGTTTGAAGATGTGAATTGGGTGAAGGTAATCCATATTTGTGTGGACTATTGTAGTGGTGTTGGGTCTTCCCACCAATATGACAAGGGCGTTGATACAACCTACTTAATATGGTAGTGGAAGAGCATCTTCTCCATTCATACGAATTCGTTCTACTTCTCCCATGTCTTGTTGTGAGAATGAGGAATCAGTGGGAGATGAGTACGATGACCCTAATGCTCAAGGTTGATTCCTCATTATATTAGTAAGGGTAATATTGAAGACGATGAAGAAGATCTATCAATGATAAGCAATGATGATCAATTGGAGATGATGGAGAACATGAAACACCGACCCCACAACGTGCAATGCTCTTGCCTATTACCCAAGTTGACGGTACATCTTTAACGGGTAAGTATAAAACAATGTTATCAAAATCGAACTGGCGTATGAATAATAAAAGTAAGAATGAATAATATAAATTCTAAATAAACAAAAATATTATAAATAAAGTACACATAATAACATTTTATTCATAAAACATAAATTTAAGACAAACAAGGGCTTGGTCTAGTGGTAATACCACTAGCCTTGAATATGAGGTCCCAAGTTTGAATTCCTTCAGTAGTACCTAAACCATAAAAAATAAATCTATATCACCATTATAAATAAAAAATAAATTTCAGAAAAAACTGTTAAGAATGAATAATAAAATTATTATTTAGATAAAATATAATTAGTTTTTTTAAATTAAGAGAGACAATTAGCACCAAATGGAACTAGATGCAAGTTGCAATTAAAAAATGAGTAATTTTACAATGCTATATAGCATTGGTGCTATAGGTTTTTACCTTTTTAGTACAACTTGAAATTGTACATTTAATGTGATGGTACAACTTCAAATTATACCTATACTTTTTGTACAATTTTTTTATGGTACAACTTGAACTTGTACCTTTATGTGATGGTACAACTTCAAGTTGTGAAGTTGTACCATAACATAATTGTACAAATTGCTTTATGGTACAACCTGAACTTATACATTTAACGATATGGTACAACTTTAAGTTGTACATTAAAGCATCAAGACTTTATAGCATAGTAGAAGTGATCTTAAAAAATGGGCCTATAAATGGGTCAATTAAATTTGTTAGAATGAGGAGAGAGGAGGGAATCAAAAGGGCCAAATAATTTCCCTTTTTTTTTATTTTTTCTATCCTCATACGTTGGTTCCCCCAACAGATTTTCACAAGTAGCAGCTAAACCGGGTTGATGGTTTGTTGCCGGTTTTATCATTCGGACTGATCAGTCCGGGCTAGTGTTCAAAACACTTATATAAAGGATGCTTATTAATAGCTAGCACCGTCCACAAGAACAACCATATCTTTCTAATATCGTTTGTTGTGGTAGAAGGTTAGAACAAGAGTAGTTGGGAATGGTTCTTTGATCAAATACAAAAGCATGAAATACAGTGTGAAAACCTCATTTATTATTTTTTATCTACATAATGGATCGTCATGCTATTAACATTATTGGATTGAAGTTTAACTAGAAGTGGCAATGGTGACATCATTTCAGCAGCAACCAAAGAGATAGATAGGGTAGAAAGTACATCAAAAAAAGATTGTGGTGGGATGGTTGGGACAGGCATGCTTCCATATCTTCAATTGCTAATGAAACCGGTGAATGCAGTTCTCAAAAATTTCAAAGGTATAAGACGCCTTGCTTTCATGTCATTTATGCATGCAAATCTCATTCAGTTGATTATCATCGACTCGTAAGCCCTTACTGGACTACTGAAGTAGTTCTATAATCTTTTTGAAGGCATTTTCAATCCTTTGGTCATGAAAATGGCTAAAGTATATGGGATGTCTAATTCTTCCTGATGAATCAAGAAAGCTTAGATAAGGATCGTTCGAAGGTAAACATGAGGCACACTGAGATGGATCTAACTCAATGATCACCACCTCAACTAGACATTGTGATCGATGAAGGCACCTAAGCATACTGGGCGATCTTATAAAGCACCTCCAAAAGCAAATGATGAATAGAGGACAAGGCCAATGAACACATATGTCGTGTAATGATATTGTTTTTTTTATAGTGTATAAATGTATATTAATTCTTGTGTTAAAATATTTCATTTGAATGTGTGCAAACTATTTCATTTAAGTGTCTTAAGACTAGTTAATTTAAGTGTGTTAAGACTATTTCATTTCAGTAACTTAAGACCATCTCATTTGAGCGAATTAAGTGTCATTCTTTTTTTATATTCTTTATTGTTGAATGGATATCAAAATTTTGTTCATGATTCTTTTCCAAACATCTAGTTATGTTGACACAACATGAACTCCAAAATTGGAGCATTCTATCAAATCCACATAAAACAAGAAAATGCAAAGCTCAAATATTTGAATAATATAGAGCATCACAGCTACAAAACTTCAAAAAAAAAATTACATAACGGTATATTATGCATTTTTCTTTGTGTTTGTTTTCTCTTTGGAACTCATGCTTTAGTTAGGGTGGGTGCATTAGGCATCGGATAACCCCTTGGTGCAGTAGGAGGAGTCATTGAGGGAGGGTAGGGAGAGTACTCATGAAGAGGATAATGAGGTTGTATTTGGAGAGGGTAAGAAGGGTATCCTTGGGGAGGATAAGGAGGGTACCATCATATCCGTTAGTATTTAACAAATGGAACATTCTTACTAGTTCGGGTTAGGACATAAATGACACAAAACTATAATAGGTTGGGACACAAATAGCACATTCTTAATAGTTCGGGTTTCCTAGTGGTATTAGCCCTTGTTTTAATTGGAACTCTAGATCTTGGTTTCGATTCCCAAGTGGAGAAATTGAAGCTTTTCCCTGTATATTTTTTTTTGTTAATCACTAAGCAGTTAATAGAGAATTAAGTTCTTGGTTTAGGCATTAAGCTTTTCCCTGTCATGCTCTTAATGAAAGGATTACACCTTTGTGAGAATAAGAATATTGTTCATGCTCGTAGTGAAGAGTGTATCCTTGGTGAGAAGAATACCAATAGTAAGAAAAGGAAGACTAGATTTTCGGGGGTAGGAAGATGGTGGATGATTTGGTGAGCATGATGGCCTTCCTCAAGAAACTCGTATGACTAATACTCAATAATAACATATGTGTTCATTACAAATTGAGGTGGTGTGGGAGGGTCAGAACATCTATTACGTCGATGTCACTCAACTTGAATTACCTCAACCTCTGGTTCATCTTTTGTTGACGGTGCACTTTGTTGAACATATGTGTTGATGTCGCGAAGATCTTCTTGCAAGATGTGAAGAAACATATCATTTTCCCCCTTAGAATGATAACTGGATCTTCCAAAATTCATAAGCACTATGAAAAGTAATCAACATATGCTCTAGGCCATCAATCTACAATAAATACATTAAAATGCTAGCTAATAGAACAAGTTTATTAAGAAAATTGAACCATGAGCACTAAATGGATTTTGACTGAAGTGGCAAGTCAAAGCTTACCACTGATCCAATCATATCACCATGCTGGGAGATCCATTTTATATTCATTGTTTGATACCATTTCTTATACTTATTGTGGTACCTAATTAGATTCACTACACAAAACTATTGATGCAACAGGATTGTTTAGCATTCCATAATGAAATATATGGCTTATGATACTCAGGCAAATCTCATGTCGACGAAGATCAATGTCAGGAAATCCTCTTTAGGTGGATGGTAGATCCCTCATAATAGGTTGGGCGAATCTGAATTGACGCATTAGTCTATCTGGTACGTGTCACTTAACGATGTTTTCTAGTATGCTTCAGGGAACTTGTCTCTAGCTTTAAGAAACTTGTGGTCAAATTTATGAGGTTACTGGTATGCTTTAAAGACCTTGTGGTCGGTTTTATGAGATTTCTTGTATGCTTCAGGAAATTTGTGATCGGCTTTATGAGATTTTTGGAATGGTTTAAGGAACTTGTGGTCGGTTTACTGAGGTTTCTAGTATGCTTTAGGGAAATCGTGGTGAACATTTAGTTTTTTTGTTTAATTTATTATTTTGTGGTGTGCTTAGGTTTTGGTCTGCTTTATAAGCTTTCTGGTCTACTTTATGTTATGTGGTGTGGTTTGTTTTTTTTGAGTCTGTGTTTTCTCGTACGCTTCATGAAACTTGTGGTCAGAACGACTCGCGAAATAAATAAGCAACGCCACACGCGTGTTGCTCCTAGAATTTCTAAAAATGACAAGCGTGTGCACCCTTTAAAAATCAGAAATATATGCCTTCCCCTTATCATCAAATTGCTTTTTACATCCGAAAACTAGGTAGAAAATATGGAAGTACATGTGGATGGACTACCTATTGCTCGGACGGTAACTGAGGAGATGAATGTGGCTTTGATCGTTGAATTTGTGGCGTCGGAAATCCG